TTTCAGTCACGAGAGGATGCCCGCTTACTAACGAGCTTCTTTCTGATCGCTAACAAAACTTCGGTACTGTAAAAATTGGCTACTTAAGTTCTATGCATTTCTAGCATTGATTTTTATTGACCTTATAAATTATAATATAAGAGATGGTAGAGATAACGAAAGTTTAAGCAACCAATCAGTAGTAATTAGGGGGATTGGGGTAGAGGTGCAAAGGAATCAAAAGGGTCAGATTATAATCGTAAGTGGTGGCCAGAGTGGGAAAAGGGTGGGAGTGGAGGGGAGGAGAGTAGAAGGCGTCCGTAAATTAGTTCCTGTCGTCTCGCCCTCTTTGGTTCCCACGTTTTCGGGAGGTGTGAGGACGCAAGGTGTCATCATTTCGTGACGGCGTTAGTAGCACGGGGATGTTTGCTGTCCCCCACCATTTCCCCTCTCTGGTCCTCAATTAATACTAGAATCTGACCTTTTCGATCCCTTTACAACTCTCCCCCCACTTATCCCCCCAAATACTACGGATTGGCTGCTTAAACCTCCGTTAACTTTACCCTCCCTTATATGATTGCATTGCCTGATGATGAATTAATCGAAAACGTTCGTTCGCCTAACTTGACTTCATGAATGATGACATGGGCATCATCGGTGAGATCAAAATATATTTTATGCGAAAACGAACACAAAAATATGTCATGTACTCGTTTGGCAACAAATTACGCATTCTTTAAATTTCATGCTTAAGTAAAGGGGATCTTTCGGTTTTAAAACTAATTCCAAATTGCCGAATAATTTTTAAACCTACTGATTGCTACACCTGAATTCATGGTTTACAAACTGCGCACTGTTTACATCCTGTTTAAAGAAAAATGCGTTTTCGCTTACGGTTTGAGTAAGAAATCACACATTCCTCATAAAATATTGCAACAGATGTGTAACATGCTGTACAAATTATAAGCAGCATTAATAAATTGACAGGTATGATGTTTTATGAATAAACACCTCACAGTCGGAAAAACTACATAATTAAATACTTATTTGAAACCGTAAAATGACCTCTTTGAAGAACACAAACGAGTACATGGCACTTTTTTAGTTTATATTTTCCATAAAATATACTTGAATTTATAAAGGCAGTCAAAATCATTAATAAAATGCATACTACATAAGCAGCCATTTTTACAGTAAACACGTTTCGTTAGCCGTTAGAAGGAAGCTCGTTAAAAAGCCGACACCCTATCGTGATTGAAATGCCTTCAGAAGAGACTGCATTGTAATCATTACAGGGGTATTCTTTATATAAACCCCTGTATGCATTTATATAGACCCCTGTATGCATTTATATAG